AGAGAGAGAGAGAGAGGCAGAAAGACAGAGACAGACAGAGAGGCAAAAGGGGCGAGGGGGGCAGAAAAGTAAACTCGGCACATTCGTATACTCCTTATCGAGCCCGACCAAATCTCGCTGTTGCTGGCGAGCTGAGCTGCGCTCTGCTGCTACCGGCTCCTCCGGCTGCGCCCAGCGGGTGGTATATTCGCCGTGCGCATAACCGACCGTATCCCCCTCGTCCTCCTCCTGTACTACAACCCGGCCGGTCGCCCCGGAGAGTGGCGCGACTGACTCTGGCTTGGCTCGGCCCCAAAACCCGTTCGCTTGATGAGGAGTGAAATTCTCCGGGAGCGCTCTGCCGCCGGCACCAGCACCGCCACCGCGGCCATACGCTGCCCCCCCCCCCTCACCTTGTCAACACCACATTCGAGCTGCGTTCGGCAAGTGTGTGATGTCCACTTGATAATCTAACAGCCCCCCCCCTCGTGTGCGGCCCCAGGCCCCATGGATATCTCATCCCCCCTCCTCCTCCTCACCCCCGGAGTTCCCGGACCGGCGGCGAGCGGCAGGCGCGGATTTAGGCGGTAATGTTGGGTCCAGGCATATCCGGCGGCGACACTGACTGCCGCCGTGGTGGACGGGCCGCGTCGTAAAACCAGAGACCAATTTTATCGATTCGAATTCATCGGCCCGCCAGAGGCTTTGGAAGACCCCGTCGTCACCGCGCGCGCGGGTGGTCCGGCCGGCCCCGCGCCCGGCACGGCCAACTTGTCAGCGGGCGGCATGAGCTGGCGACAGGCGCAGGGGGGTCCGCCGGGTCCGTGCACAAAAATTATGTCTTTTTATTTTACTTTTTAAGGGCCACGGGTTATCTTTTTCACCAACGGCCCTCTCCAACTGACCTGACATACGGTTGATGATCATAGATACCGCTTCTTATTGAGACGCTGCATGATAAGGTTACCCTGCCTGGGAAAATGTTTTCCTGTGGGATACATTCATCATGGCCCCCCATCACCTTACTTTAACAACCCTCACTTCGCTTGAAGTGCTGTAAAACAGTACACCAGAGAGGAGAAGGAAAGGGGGGGGGGGGGCACAACCGCGGCAAACGTCGCCGGGTACACTACACTTGAGTGATGGAAAAACTAACACTGGTCGCTGTGCCCCACGCCCTTTCGGACGTATCGGCTGTTAATCCGTTGGAGTACCTGCGCGGCCGGTTGACAGGTCAAAAGGACCGCCGCCGCCGCCACCACCACCAACTGGTTGACAGGTCAACAGTGTTGTCCCCAAAAGGGCGCCTGCCGCTGCTGGACCAGCCGGCAGCAGCGGCAGCACGGCCGTGGGAAGGCGGCCCGCGGCAGCAGAGTGACAGCGGCCAGGCCCCGCCAGGGCCCGCGGTCGCATCCGTTTATATTATCGGACCGCTGCCGGGCGTGGCGCGGCCCGGAGGCGTTCGCTGCCCACCGGCTCATCCACAGCCTGCTCGTCCGGTCGCCTGCCTCGCTCAGACACTCTCGGAGGGGCCCAAAAGTAAGTGCGCCGCGGACGGCCGGGAGTTACGCGGATCTACAACACGCGCGGCGCGGGAGCGAGCGAGCAGCGGCCTGTTCGGCGCGCTTATGGGTGGCTTGGCTGCGCGAGCATGTGACAAGTGCCGCGCCGGCACGAGGACGGCCAGGGTCACATGGTGGCGGGGAGTAAAAACCCCCGTCCCCGTCGGCGAAACATGTGCACGCCGGGTGTGTGTGCGAGTGAGAGGGAGGGAGGAGAAAGAGGGAAAGATAGATTTGAATGTGAATTACTTCATTTGGTCCACATGAAAAGTTCCGTGCACATCAGTAGTTATACTCAAATTGCACCGCACACACGAGTGCGGGCGCCCTTGCCTATCGCCCCTGTCCACGGCGCTTTTCGGGCCGAGCAAAGT